TTAGATTTTTGTTTGTTTTCTTTTTGCTGAAACATTAGAAAACAATTAATTGCAATAATTGTTGCAAATCAATTTGGTTTCAAGCAAAAGTTTTGATTTAGTTGATTGTCAAGACTACGATGATGATGGTGAACAATATTTAATTGCATCAAGTTTAAAATGATGATGGTTGATATATCAAATGATTAACATTGGAAAGGAAGAAAAGTTCAAAAAGATGAGAGGAAACAATTAAAATCGATTGACTAAAGTAGGCAAAAGGGTTGAAAGATGATGACGATGATGATGAAAAGAGGATAAAGATGAGGATGAGGATGAGGATGAGGAAGATAAAAGATGCGATTAAGTTTCAATGATAAATCTTTTACCAATTAAGTGAGACATTCTCATGATCATCATCACCCACTCACCAATTGAAGTAATTTCAAGTTTATCTCATGTTTTCACGCCCGAGTTTTGTATTTATGTGTGTTAATTATATTTGTTAGAGAAGTGCAAAGATGATGATGATGAAAATGAGAAGATGATGGTGAAAAAATTTAATTGATAGTTAATCTGAAGATGAGAGAATTGTTTCTTAACATTTAATATAATCCATCATTTATAATCCAACATCACTCGGCATCCTCATCAATCCTTCAATTAATAAAGGTCATTCCTCACCAATCATTAACTATTAGTTAATTTACTTCATGATGATGATGATCAGCAATGGTAAGCAAAGAAACAAAAACTCTCATCATGTTAGAGAAATACTATCATCAAGATTATCATCATTCTAATCATCATCATTATCCAACATCTAAATCAACATAATGTAAAATGATTGCCAACTTTTTTTTATATCTAATTTTCACTAATCATCATCTTGATTGCCTCAAGTTACAATTAGCAAATTAGATTCTGCAAAAAGAAAGTAAAACTTTTCAACAATCAACAAACATCATCATCATTATTATCACAATCAAGACAGAGTGAGAAAATGAGATGATGATAATTTTGAATAAATAGCCAATGACCATTGAACCAACGGGAATAAATTTTAAAAAAAGTACAACAATCAATTGATTAAACAATTTGCTCACAGTTTAAATCAATTGATTGTTGAAAAAAAAGATGATAAAAGTGACAGGTAAACGCAAAAAGTGATTACCTGGAATCATAATTAACCTTTTCAACTGTAAATACATGAAAAAGATAAAGTTTAAAGAGATGAACATAAACCAAATCAAAGGCAATTTAATTGAAATGTTTCAAAGGAAAGAACAGAAAAAAAATCAATCAACAATCAAAGGTAAAAATCGTAAATTAACAATCAAGAGATGATGATGATAAAGAAGATGAAAAATTCATCACATTGTATAAAAAGTTTCTTTTTATGCATGGAAACTTCATCTTCCTCTGAACGAAAATCATTTACCTGTAGTAAACATCCAATCCAATGAGAGGTAAAAATCCGGTTTTCATCCTCATCATCATCATCATCATCTTGCTCATCTTCATCATTATCTTGTACCAATTTATCCTCTTGAATAGTTACCTTTCCTTTTGCTTTTACCTGAACACTAACCTTACACACACACATACACAGGTATATGTATGTGCGTTCAATTGATTTAGATGAGCAAGAAAAAAATAGTTACCTGTTTATTATTATTACTTATAGTTATTACTTTTCAGCTACTAGAGTGAGTTTAGCTACTACTACTACTACCGATGTTAGATGTTAAGGAAAAGCAGTTGACCCCCAGGTATATAAAGGAGGAGGTATATAAGAGGGAGGATTGGTCAGTGAGCGACTCATTCAAGATGATTATCATTATCATCAACGGCAGTTTAATATTATTATCATTTAAATTGCAACGATATCATTTACCAGAAAATTAGACTCACTCAGTTGCTGATCAATGTTAATTTCATAATAAGTAATAAAATCATTTTAAAATGTAAATTTCAATCAATTTCCCTGCTCATTTATATATTACACATAAATTATATTCCAATTGCAATGGATATTGTATATATACAATTGATTAAAGCAATAAGGTTAATCAATATGCTGATAAATTGCTGCCGTAAGGTTAATTGTCCTGAGTGATTATCGATAATATAATAATTTAGTGTCATTGGGAAACTTTGTTATCAACTTTTAATTCAATTTCAGGTTCAATCTGATAATTAAAATTTCATCTTTATGGTGAACAATTAATTTACTTAACTGTTGATTAAATGACAATTGAGTTAATTAACTTTGTTTTTTAGATAATAGAAATTTACTTTAATTGTTTTCACCTTAATTGAATTTAAAAATATTAATCAAACTGAATCAACTCCATGAAAGATAATTAAGTTCATTATTTCAACTGAAAAACTTTTTTTCCACTTCTTTATTATTAATAATATTACAATTGGGATGTATGAGTAGGAATTTAAATCGTCTATTTAATTAAATCATTTTAATCATAATCATTGTAGACAATTAAGATTATTTTTCTTTCTATTGTGTTTAATCATTTTAATCTGATGAAAAACAATCAACAGTTAATGGGAAATATTTTTCTCCATAGTGAATATTAAATGATAATCAATGTGATCTATTTACTTAAAGAATTGAAAATTGGATTTTTTTCTCCTTCTTCTTCATTGATAATCTTAATTGTGATTAAGATGATTAAATGAATGCCAATGGAATATTTTGATGGGTAAATCTAAACATTACATAGACGATTCAATGAGATCTCTCATTATGGTCATCACATCAAGAACCATCATCATCATTAACATCAATGATGATGAGAGCATAAATGTTGTAATGACTTGATGAAGAGAGAAAAAAGCAAATCATCATTAAGAATTGTGATTAAATTGATTGAATATTAGCAAATAATCATAATCAATATGTAGTAATGATAATAGTCATTAGGAGCACAGGTAAGTCTAGATAAATAGATGATGATAATGAAAATGAAAAGGAATCAACAATAACAATATAACAGCAAGTTAACCAGCAAGGAGATGATGTTAAACTCATGAATGGTTAACATGGATCCCGATGATGATGATGAAGAAATAATTTCAAACTGTCCAGTCAAACTGACCATTAAGCTTGGTACATAAACCCCATGCTGATTGAATGTTGATTCGTAACTATCTTCATCATCATGCTTTCGTTTACCTTTTACCTTTAAAAGATGAGGATGCTCTTAACATATGATAAGATTTCCCATCCAAAGCATTATTATTGTTAAGCTAAATATCACGATTACAATAAGATATTTAAAGAGATGTATAAGTTTTTAAATCTTTATCCGGTTTATCATTTTCTCTCAATTTCAAAGTTTTCCTTGACTTTTTTTTCCAGGTAAAAGGAAACAAAATCTCATCATGTTTACTGTTTATTACATGGAATGAGACTTTGTCAGCACTTTTATCATGAAACATTTAAGATGATGAGAGAGAGAGATGATGATGATGATGATTATAGTGGAGATGGTCATTTCTAAGATGATGTTTCATCTTCATGGAAAAAGGAAATAACTATGAGAATATTATCTTTTTCATCATCTTTTAATTCCAGGTAATTCCGATAATCTCTAATTCCTTTTGATTGAGTTTTAAAAATCTAAAAGATGCTCATGTTCATGTGACTTATTGAATTCCCCCTTCAATTCAACCTGATTGAGGTTAAATCAATAAATTCATTTAAAGAGTCATTTAGATTGACAATTAAATTGAATGAAAAACAAAATCAGTAAATGAATTTAATTTACATTGTTACTCACTCTCCCTGGTAAGGATAAAAGGAGGGAAACAATTATCATCATCATCATCATCATCACCAACAACAACAACATGAGGAAATAATCAGAATTGTTTCAACATTAAATTAACTACATAATAGATTATGATACTTCCTTAATTAATCTAATTTTATCCTTGTGAATTAAATGTAAATAATACTCATCATGATACTCAGCAAATTACTATGAGAAGACAAAAACACACAAAAAACGATTCAACATCAACATAATCAACTTTAATCAACAACAACGTTGATTATCATGATTATCATATCATGTTGATGATAATTATGTAAACTTTATATCCTCAACTATTAAAGTATAATTTATTTTCATGACACTTAACATAATCACAGTTTCAAAGTTTCTTGTCTTATTAGTGATTTCTGTTACCATGTCATTGTTATCATCATTATCATCATGTTATGAATGAAAAAAAAAGTTCTGATACCAAGAAAAATGATTCTGGTTGAAGTGAAAAAAAAAACGTATCAAGGTTGAAGTAAAAGAGGAAAACATTAATTATCATGTAAGTATAACATGATGTTGATGGAGATGATGATGATGATGATGATTATGGGGATGATGGGGATGATTAGCATCTTCATGTTTTGTCTTCTTGCCTGTTAAGTGAATGAAACGCCTTCGTAAATCACTGTGAGTGTTATTACATTGAAATAACATTGAACTTTCCTCCAAATGATAAGTAACAATGTTTATCATGATGTATTATTAATACATCAATTGATGAAGATAAAGATGAAGATGATGAGTAAAGATGATTAAGAGATGGTAATAATATTCCGATTTCTCATAACTGGTTTACAATGATAACTTTTTGATGGAAAATTTGAAAATTTTCATCATTTTCTTTTTCTCTTGGATTTTCTTACCTGGATTTTCAATCAAGTTTTTCTCTTACTTTTCAGCAATAAAATTCAGGGAAGAGAGAGAGAGAGAGAGAGAGAGAGAGAGAGAGAGAGAGACTTGTCTTTTCTTTGAAAGAAATTACGTTTTTTCCTCTTCTTTTCATCATCTTTTGGAATAGAAAATCATTGATGCTTGGAAAGAATAAAAATATTATGAAGAGGAAGAAATTAATCAGAATTATTTAAGATTCTGAGGTTATCTTTTCAATTTTGATTCGATGGTTGGTTTCAATAGTAATTTTATAAATTAGGTAATGATGAGTGATGGAGATTTTATATGAGAAAGAAAATTTTGCTTTTCTTTTTTAATCAATTGGAAATTTACTCTTAACAGAGAGACAGGGAAAGATTTTCATAAGAGGAGGTTAGAAAATAAGGAGAGGTGGATGATAGAGATCACTTTGTGTGAGACAAGGGGATAAGGAGGAGAAAATAATATTAATAATAAGGGAAAACGATTTTTTTACAATAATTACAGAGGGAAGGCTATTCATTAGCCTTTTAGCTTTTCGTTTAAAATTTTCTTGTCATTTATCTTTTTTTTTCTTTACCTTAATTGATCTAAGAAGTAGCACAAAAAAGTTCATTTTTTGCTTCATATTATCCAGCAGGAGAGAGATGAATAAATATTCACAGAGTATATATATATTCTGATATATATATAAATGTTATGGTTGTGATTTGAGTGAGTGGTGAGTGAGTGAGTGAGTGAGTGAGTGTATTTATATAAAGGTAGAGAAGATAATGATGAAAGAGGATTTAAAACTATTTAGAAAAGAAAAATTTTGGCATTTGTATCACAGTCAAATTGTTTGGTTGGTTTTCCCTGAAGAAGTTGAAATTGAAACAGGGGAGAGAGAGAGCGAGAAAAAAAATCATAATGATGATGAAAAAATCAACAGAGGTTTTTAACCATCATTATCATCATTAAATGTTGATGCCTTGTTGTTGCTGTTGAAGATGTGAATTGGTAAATGATGAAATTACTCGGTTATTTGAACCGAGAACAGCTAAAACTGGTGCTCCATTGTTAATACCAAGAGAGTGATTGTTAATGTCATTGTTTCCGTTAAAGGTTCCAAGGTTGGTACTATTATTGGATCCATTGGTTAGATCACCTTCATGGGCTAAATTTGAACTAGATTTACTGCAAATTATTGTACGACGACCACTGTTATCACTGACAATAGCGGGTAATGTGTTTCCAATTAAACCATTTGAACATGTTACTGGTGTTCCTTGTGTGGTTGTAGATGGATTGGTTGTTGTCGTTAGGCCTGATGATGTTGGAGCTCCTGTTGAAACGGCAAATTGTCCATTTCTTAGGTGAAGTGACTCTAAATTATGATAACCAAGATAGTGATTGGGTAATGTTTGCTGGAAATGGTGAAGTTGATGAAGATGATGACCATGATCTCCACCAGCGGCAGCCGCTGCGGCTGCTGCTGCTGCCATGGAATGCAACCTGTAATTACCTAAAGCGGCTGAGGCAACGGTTGAACCAGGAGGTAGGATCACCTTGGCAACGTAAGGTTCATCATCAATACATTCATATACATGTTCAATCATGTGATGACAAGAGTATGGATTACATGATTGTTTAGGATTATATAAATGATAAAAATGATTAGGTGTTGGTCCATGTGTAGCCATATTAGGACCGTTACCGGCAGCAGCGGCTGCAGCAGCTGCGGCAACTGCGGCCGGTGTTAACCTACGACAACCATAATCAGATCCACTTTCGGTGGTGGCAGCGTCACTGGCAAGATAATGACGCGATGATGAAAACTCTCGGGATAATCCACCCATACTAGATGAATTACCAATCATGGGCTGTGATAATTGAGCTGGATTTCCAGTAAGATTTTGAATAGATGGATTCTTATTATAACCTCCGAAAACGAATCCCCTAGAAAGTCCTCCGTTAAGGCCACTATTAAGAGGAAGGTGATGTACAACATTTGGATGGTGAGAATGATGATGCCCATGATGTACGGGATGAGGATTATCCAGATAGCTTTTGGAATCACCTTTTAAACAAAAAATGTGTCTTGCTGCATAAGAGCATATTAGAGAATAACGGGAACGAATATTCTCTTTGGTTAAACAATAGTAAGAGAACACAAATAATCCAAGGGAAACATTGGTAAGGGCAAATAAGAATCCAATGGTTGATACCCTGTAAGTTAAATAAACAACGCCTAGAGTACAATTAATGGCAGCCAACAGGTTAAGTGAGAAACGACAAAATAATGAAATTTTTAGCTTCCGATTTAACATTAAATCTAATGCAAATTTATCTGCACTGGTCATTAATCCGGATGGATAAACAAAACCTCCAACAGAACCTGGAGATACTGGTGAAGATGATGATTGACCAGTTGATGAAGAAGATGTATGTAAACCAATTCTTGAATAGGTAACTAAAAGAAGTACTAATCCAAGGCCAGTTAATATGATAGACGAGGCAATGACAAATGAAGCAAGATGAGAACGAGCCTCAAGTGAGCAAAGATTGGCAAACATTGGTAAGGCTTGTGTTGATGTTGACCAAGAGATGAGTAAAATAACTATTAATGGTATCAAATATGATGTTAGGTAAAGATAGCGTCTCAATTTAACTGGATTTATGCCACCGGTAAGTATTGAAGCTGTTGTTGCTGTTGTTGGTGTGGTGGTGGTGGCAGTTGATGAGATATTCACAGAGGCAGAAACGGTTCCTGATGGACCAAGGACAAGAGATGGATCAATAAATTGTTTCCTTGATAGGCGTACATGAAGCTCAAGATCAAGATCAAAAAGAATCCAAACAAAATGAACAAGAAGAAAATAATGATATAAGGCAACAAGAAAACCTAATGAACGAAGGGTTGAAGTGTTGGTTGTTAATGAATTAGATGATGATGATGATGATGATGATGATGAAATTGATGTTGTATTGAAATAGTTTGGTGAAAGGTAAGTACCCAGAATTAATAATAACACAAGATGATCGAGTAATAAATTGATTGTAACATTTTTACGAATCAATGCTGATTCCTTGGTTTGCAGTGAACGAATAAGGACAAGGGTAACCAAGGCAATTAATAGAATAATTGAGTTTAGAGTTGATCCAAGAATTAAAAGAATACGAATTGTTCCTTCATTTTCTAAATTACTGTAATAAAGTTGACCGGAAGATGATCCACTTGGTGGTGGTATGTATAAATTTTCCTCATAAATTCTAGATGAATTTTCATCATATTTAGAGTCAATATCTAAAATTGAACGGGTTGATAGATCAAAATCAATTGGGGGCTGTGGTTGTGATGGTGGTGGGGAGGGTGAAAATTCTGAGATGAGTTCAATTTTGGGTGATAATGGAGGTGAAGGTGAAATCTGTGGACTACTAGTTCGGTATGGATTAATTGTTGGTATTATGATGGGCGGTGGACTTTGGTTCTTTGGCTTATTGTTAGAGCTCTGTTCACTTAGAGAGAAGGGTGAAGATTGGGAGAAAGATGATTGAGGTAACAAAGACCAGTTGTCATCAAAAGATGATGAAAAAGATGAAGATGGTGAGGATGGTGATGATGAAGGTAATGATGAAGAGTCTAGGGAAGAGGAAAGTGAAGAAGATGATGAAGATGATGATGGTGATCGGACAACTTCAGAAAATCCTGGTGGACGTTGAAATTTAGGCACACACTCATAATGAACTTCAAGATATTTATAAGTTCCTGGACATGGGTCACCAAAGAAAGAGCTAGATGCTGGTAATAAGCAACTATTCTTACGATTACAATTTAATTGAATATTGGCAAAAGATTCAGGTGATTTACAATTTACACTCCATTCAAGATTTCCTTGGGAATTACATGTTGAAATACTAAAACGACCAAAATTGGCACGTATTAAGTTTATTATGTAAGGATCACCACAAGATAATGTTAAACTTGACCCTTCACAAGCGTATCCGGTTCGTCGTTGGGTAGTGAAAATTTCCTCTTCAGTTTGACCAGATACCAGAAAGAAAATGGGTATCCAGTGAAATAAAAGATGACCACCGAAAAGGAGACCAAGATGTCTTCGGATCATCGCTCAGCATCACACAAAGGAGAGTAATTTTTTAAAAAGAAAAGAATAATTGAAATTTTGAAGAAAACAAAAAGACACAAAAAAAAAATTACAAAATTAAAGAAGAAGAAAACAACATCAAACCACAAAAGTTTAGCCCATTAAACTATTGATGTTGCAAGTTGGAAGATGGCGGCGAGATGGTGATGATGATGAAGGAACAAAATTTATTATTAAAAAGATGGAAACATGAGAGAGAGAGAGAAAAAGAAAAAAAAATTTTCTCTTTTCCCAAACAAAGAAAATGAGTTACAATCTTTTACCAAGTTGAATAGAACAAGAAATAAACAAGAAAGAGAAAGAAAAAAGAGAAAACCAGTTTATCGAAAGTGTCGCCACCTTTTGAGAGAAGAAAAAGTGTCGCCATCTATGGGTTAGAATTTTCTCTAAATTGAGTGAATTAAGAGTTCGTATTATCAACGACAACGAACACACACAAAGTTTTTCGCTGAATTGGAAGAGATCGAAATTCAATCGAATTTGTTTATGTTTGTAAAGTTTTTTCTTTTCGAAGAAAATTATATTACAATTATACAAATGGAAATTAAGGAACCGAGAAAAAAAAGTAAATGGAAATAAAAAGCTTTCTAATAATAATAAATGGGAATGAAGATATTAGAAAAGATTAAGAAATGAAAGAGAGAGAGAGAGGAAAAGTTGAAAGAATGATCTTGAGATGGTCAAGGAAAATGGTGACATACGTGTTAATCTATTGCAGTGTTTTTTTCCTATTGTGTTTGTTGGGTCACTTTTCACTATGGACATTAAGTGAAGGAGAAAAAAAATAACATCAACAACTTTTGCTCTCTCCCTTTTATCTATGAGCACATTAAGCAAACAAAGATGTAGATGGTTATACAAATTCCCGCTTCAAAGGTCACATTATTTGGCATAAAAGCAATAAAGAGTTCGGTTGATTGATGATAAAGAATAGTAACTAACGAGAAGTAAAAACGATCAAGATGAAGAAAGAAAGAAAAAAAGAAAGCAAGAGAGAGAGAGAGAAAATAAGTAAGTGAAGAAATGCAAAGAAAGACAGAGAAAAATGTTGTTGGTGGTGATGAAGAAGGAGGGAGAGAGAGAGAGAGTGATGGTGAGAAGGATAAAGATGAGGATGAAGAGGATGTTAGAAAAAAACGATGATATCAAGTAAGAAATAGAGAGAGAGAGAGAGAGAGAGAGAGAGAGAGAGAGAGAGAGAGAGACCAACCTTTCTTCAATTTTTTGCTTTGCTGATCATCTTCATCTTCATCTTTTCTCCTTCTGTGCTACTTTCCCTTGAGCTTTTTTTGCTGGTTTTGCTCTCACTCTGCTGGTCAAGATTGCAAAGTTAACTTTGCTACCTTTTAAATGGTCTGCACTCAGCATGGGGCTATTTTGGCTTGTCAAGTAACCAAGGGAACTATTCATCATCATGAGAGAGAAAGGAGAGTAAACCAGAATCCTGGAAAATAATAAGATGATGATGATGAAGGGATTAGGATTTTCAACATTTTCTGTATTCATATTCACTTAGATTCACCTGATTCAATTGTTACCATGAGTGTGAACATGTCAAACAATTTTTAACTTTATCTCAACATTTTTTTCCTAATTAACTGGACAAGAACTCTATCACTAATTTACTCTCTCTCTCTCTCTCTCTCTCTCTCTCTCTCTCTCTCTCTCTCTCTCTCTCTCTCTCATCATCATTATCATCTTAAAGAGTAAGATTGATTAAAAGGGAAAATGGTTCCGAGGTAAAAGTAACTAGATGGAGAGAGAGAGAGGGAGAGAGATGATGAAGAAATAGTTAATCAGTAATCTAAAGCTAATTAACTTTTCGCCATCTTCATCTCTATTCCTCATCCTCATCATCTCCTTGTTTTTATTTATTGATGGATTTGAAATTATTGCTCAATCATCATCATCTTATTACTATTACTAAATTGATATAATCAGTCAAACTTTTACACCATCGATTAATTTACCTCAATAATATCAATCAATTGATTATGATGGGTAAGACAATTAAATGTGATGATGATTGCGTTTTCCTCATCAAAATCAACATTTTCTTGATTATTAACTGTTACTTGTAATCAATTAATTGCTTACAATTCATCCAGATCAATCATCATTAATAAGTATCTATGTTTTTTGTTTTTCAAACAAAAAAAACAACAAATAACAGTTATTTTTTAACTACTCACACAATTAACTAAAACAATTAACTCTCATTTCTGGCTCATTCATTAGATTAATACAATTATTGTTATCTAATAATATTAATCATAATAATGATAAATAACTTTAATCTAATTGCTTTCGTTAAAATTGATTAGGCAAAACAATTTCAAAATACATACACATTTGTATATTAATAGTCAATTCCGGTTTATACTAATTATTGATATCTAGCTGAAAGATGATCAGCAATTAGTATACAAATATGAGATGGAAGATAAAAGCAATTTAAATTGATTGTTAAAATTAACAAAATTAAATCTAAATAATGATTTAAATGAACAGTAAGATAAAAAAACAACTATCACAATGCTAATCTCATTAAGATTAAGAGGCAATAATCCCATAGGAATCAATTTAAGCCATGAAGATGATGATAGACATTTAATAATCTTTGACCTAAAAAAGATGATCCAATGTAACTTGTCTCTCTCTCGTTCTCTCTCCATTTTTCTTTGACAGACAAACAAAGGTCAAATAGTAACATCTTAATAAAGGAGAGAAATACACAGAGGGAAAAGGAGGAGGAGGAGGTGGAAAAAAAGTCAGAAAAATATCATTGCTTTTGCATCTCCACCTCCTCTCTCACTCATTTTCCCTCCTTCTTATCGTCCTGTTTCCCTCCTTTCTTATTTTTCGTCTTCCATAGTTATCATCATCATCTTCATCTCCTCTTTTAAAGTTAAACAAGCAAAAGAAAAAAAACAAGAAACTCCATCATCTTTTTTTGAAGACATAATTGTCACTTACAATGATAAACTTACCTTTACACTGACATTTCCATCATCATCCTCCTTATTATCATCATTTACTCTCTCTCTCTCTCTCTCTCTCTCTGCTCCTTATCTTCATTGACCAATAGACCAAATGACCAAAGTGACAACAACAACAATGACCAACACAATATCCACTGTTGCACACCTTTCGAAAGTGAGGAGAAGAAGAAAAAAAAGTTCTAATGGTACGATTTTTTTTTCTTTTTCTCTTCTAATAAAAGAACCATTTTCTTCTCATTATTCGATGAATTTATTTTTACCTTTTTACTCTCTTGTTATGCTTATTATTATTTCCATAGATCTCTATTGTTAATCCATTACAATTATCATTGTATCTTCATTGTAGAAAACTGTAAATGCTTTTAAAATCCATAGTAAAAGAAGAACGAGAAAAAAGAGTTTACATGTTACATTGTAAGATGATAATTCTTATTCAATGAGAATCTTTTTTTCGAATATCTTATTATGGAGATGAAGATTTTCCCCCTTTTCTCCATTTTCATCTGTAATTTTCTATTCGTAAGAAGGAGTTTGATTTATCTTCATCGATACAAAACTAATATATAAAAGAGAAGACGAGAAATAAGAGAAAAAATCATCTTGCTCTTCCTCCTTCAAGCCATTTACACTTTATTTCTTGAAATGACCATTGGGATAGAGATGATGATGATGATGATTATAAGAAAAGGGAGAAATAAATAACACTGGTCACTTATTTACTTTGTATTTTATGTACTAACTGGACAACAGGAATTAACCTTAATCGTTGAGGCTTTTAACTTATCATCAGGAAACATTTAGATAACTCAATTTACCCACAGTAGTAATATCAATCCAATTGGTTATCATGTGTTTTTCATTTTGACAGTTTTTCTGCTAAATCAAATTTGTTTAATGTATCATCATCGTCAGTATCTTCATGCTTTTGTTTCTCATCTTCATCCTCATCATTTCATCTCTCTCTCTCTCTCTCTCCTCATCCCAATCATATTCTTGTCTCAATAACTTTCCAATGATATCTTGTTATGCCTTCATCATTATCTTCCTCCTTCTTATTTTTCCTACTTACTTTTATCATCATCATCATCCTTAGTCATTTTCCTCTATCTTTCCTTATGATCTGTTCAAGACTGTCAAATGTCAAGCTAAATCTATTAAGACAAAAAAAATTTCTTCTCTCTCAAAATGTTATTAGTAAATTTCCATGTAAAAAACAAACCTCAAACTTTTTTCTCTCATATTTTTCCCTTTAGTTGTCAATGTGTTTTCACTTTACATCTCATAGACTTTTTGATTTCTATATCAAATGTCATCTCATGTCTCTCTCTCTATTTTATATAATCAGATTATCATGACTGATTAATTCATCTGGTAATTAACCTTCAGGGTAACTTTTTTTTCTGTGAGACTCTAATCAGAAATGGTAATGATAATAATGATGCAAATGATAAAAAAAAACGTAGGGATTGATAATGATGACAGGAAAATGATGAAAGGGAAATCGTTTAAAGAAAAGAAAATTTTTCTCTCTTCAAAATCAACTTAGACTCTCAACTGTGTAATAATAATGATGATGATGATGATGATGAGGATGATAATCAAAGGCAACCATCAATTGATTGTCAGGTTAACAGTGAGAGGTAATTGCATAAGGTAAAAAAGAATCTAAAATGCATCAAATTAGTAAACAATCAATTGAGAACACACCTTAACTCATCATCATCTTCTTCTCCTGATGATGAAGATGATGAATCAAAGATTGACTATCATTGATTTGCAAATTGATTTATCTTCTTCTTTCATCTTCTTTCTCATCATCAAATTTTTCTTCTCATCTTCTCTCTCTCTCTGTAAGTAGTATGCAATTTGTAAATTGCTTTGTGCAAATTGTAATGTTGGTTAATTTGTGGGTTAATTTAAATATCTCTCTGTTAGTAACTTCAACATAAATGCAATTAAGATCAGCAAGGATGCTCTGGAAGACAACGAGAGAGAGAGAGAGAGAGAGAGAGAGAGAGAGAGAGAGAGAGAGAGAGAGATTAACATGAAAACAAGACAGAACAAGAAAAAAATAATACTCACCAAGATTGAAGATTCACTTGAGCAAAAGTCAACAACAATCAACTATTACAAAACCAGAATCTGAATCAACTCAACCAACTAAAACCAACAGTTATCATGAAACAATTGAACTGAAAATTATTTTCATGCCCAATAAGAGCAGTAGAAAAATTATCCCTCCATCCAAAGGAGATGATAAAGTGATGATGATGAAGACGAAGCATCA